CCCCCGCCCCGCCCCCTCCTGCTCGTCTGCGCTCCAACCCACGCATGGGGTGGGGCAGGCCAGCCCTGACAGTAAGCCCCCTGGGTGGGAAGGTCACACTGCCCTCATCCTGCAATTTGGCAGCAAACATTACCTCTTGTCTCTGTTCATGGGAGGCAAATTTGACCATCAAAATTTCTACCTGCCCAGACTTTAACTCCTGCGCGAAGTGTCTGCCGTCTCCCGCCAGGACAGACAGGTCTGCACAAACGCCCGGCTTTGGCCGGTGCCCCCGAGTAACCCCTCCACTTTGCCAGCCCACACACTCAGCGTTATGGGGGTACACAGAGTAAGCGGTGACTGCACCCCCAGACTTCCTTTAGCAGATCAGAGGGGGAATGTTTGGGCCTCCCTGAGGCCAGGCTTCTTTGTCCTTCACGCTTGGTTTCCATGGTGCCTGGAGATCCCAGCTCACCCTAGAGGACTGTAGAGTTGCTGGTGCTGAGGGCCGCCCATAGTGGCCATGGACTGGGCTGCCGTGCCCTGCCTGTGGCCACACAGCGTGGAGACAGGTTCTCCGGAGCCCACCAACCCATGTGTCCCGCAGGCCTGGGAGGTCTCCAGTCCCTTTGGCTGCTGTGCCTATCAACTGAGATACAAGTCAGCTCCTGCCCAGCCTCCTGCCTGGGGCAGCAGGGGACCCCCCGCCCCACCCTCTTCCTCCTGCCTCTGGGAGGCAGGGGCAGATCCTGCACCTCTGGTCTGGCCTGAACCATTGAGAATCTCTTGATTTACTGGGGTGAGACAGGGCGTGTACCACCCCTCACTACCACTTTCAAGGGGTACCAGAATCCTAGGGCCTTCTTGGGAACACAGGCCTGTTGAGTGGAGGCCTGGGCCTGGAGGGGTTTGTTGGTTGTTATCCCACCTGGCCCCAGAGGCTGCTGTGTCTGTGAAGAGGCCGCCCCCTGCTGGTGGCTCTGTGCACTGCCACCTCCTCCAAGCCTGGCTGAGTGGTCAAAGGGAAGGGAGGGCCCCAATGGGCAAATGGGGCAGGGGTGGTGGAGGGACTGAGTCACCAGGCCAAGCACCCCATAGACACTTTCTCATTTAACCCTTCCAACACCTGAGGTACTGTTATTGCCCCCCACATAGGCTAGAAGCAAAGGCTTCAAGGGGGAGTCACAAGGTCACCAGCCGAGAAGGGCAGGGCTGGGGCCCCGGTCAGAGTTCAGAACTCCAGCCCTTAATTGTCTGCCCAACAGCCTTGGGTCCCTGAACCAAGCACAGGGCTGTTTTTCCAAGCTCCAGCTTGTGGGGACCTGATGTGAGGGAGAGGCAGGGTCCCCACTGGTAGGCAGCACAGGCTGACCCCTCTGCAGGCAGGAGGGAGGGGCGTGCTCTCCTTTAACGGCAGGTGCAGGCAGGCAGGTGGGGGCGGTGGCGGCAGTGGCAAGTCCCTGCCCTCTTGGCACTCACAGCTGGAGGCAGAGACGGGCAGGAAACAGGCGGTTACAGTGCAGAGTGATCAAAGCCGGCAGAGGAGAGAGAGGCCCAGGCAGGTGGGGTAGGGGGCAGGAGAATGGGAGGGTGTGTGCAGAAGGACCACACAAGGCCCAGAAGAAATTTCCACCCTCTGGCCCCTCTCTCGTCCTCTAGAAAGCAAGAGAGACAGCCCAGCCTGGCTGCCGGCACCTCTGTCTCATCACAGAGCAGGGGCTGGGTGGGCCCCCAAGTTCTCGCCTCATGAGGCTGTCCCGCCCCCGGCCCTAGGCTGGAGCCGTCTGCTGCTGCCAGCCATGTGGTGCCAGGTGCTATTTTGGAAGTGCCAAGCATTTTCTGATCTGTCATCAAACAAACTCCTGGTGAGTGTGATGCTAGTGGGTTCACAGATGTGTGTGGTGTCAGGCGACACAAAGTGGTGGTGCCAGGGCTTGGCTGTGGAACAGACGCGCTTGGGGCCTGGCGGAGGGATGGGTTGGGGTGGTCTTCGGGAGCCTGTGATCCAGGCCCCGCCGCATGGGACATCCATCCCTTCCAGAGCCCAGACACTGCCCTAGAACACCAACCCCACTCCCAGCTTAGGTCTGGCACCCTTGGGGCCAAACACTGGTTGGATGGACATATCCCCCTGCATTGCGGTGTGCAGAGCCAAGGCCAAGGGACCCCCACCCCTGCCACCTCCATAAAGGGCAGTCCCTTCAAGGCTGGTGCTGAGACAAATGTTCACTGCACGCCTGCTCTCGGCTGCAGAGGCTACCGTGAGCAAGGCCGGCCTGGGCCCTGGCCTCAAGAGCTGTGGTCAGCACAAATGCCAGTCACCAGAGACACAGCCCAACACAGTTCTGCAGAACAGAGCTTGAGAACCAGGGCCCAGTCCTCTCATTTTACACCTGAGGAAAACGAGGGGCGGAGAGGGCCCAAGGCCTCGCAGTGCGTTAGTGGCCCACTGCTGGCTGCATCCCCTGGCTAGCCCGGCCCCCATCCTCTGGCCTCAAGGAAGGAGGAGATTCTAGGAGAAGCAGGGAGGGAGGGGGGAGCTCCACTGAGCCCTGAAGGATGAGAACTGGTGACCAGGCCCAGCAACCTGCCTCACCCGGGACCACGGTCACTGTACCCGGGCTTTGTCTCGCTGGGCCCAGTTGGACGTTTGATGACAGGGTGACTGTCATCCCCTGACCAAGTCCTCTCCCCTTTCCTTCTTCCTTTGGTATGGAGAGCATGCCAAGTTGGGGGGAGGGAGGACTCCATACTGAGATCTTGAGGCAATGCACTTAGCCCCCCTCCCCAGAAGCTTCTGAAACTTCCTCCTGACAAGCATAGGTACACTGTGTGGAGTCAGCCAGTGACCTCCTTGCTGCCCCCAAACTTAGCATGCATCTCAGAGTTGAACCAAAGGCCATCAGCTAGCTGGCTGAGCTCCAGAATCCAGAGGGTAGAGGGACCCTTGGTTTCTACCCTGGTGGCCTCAGTACAGGAGATGAAGACAGAGCTGTGAGCGGCTCTCAAATTGCATTTTTCCCCCTGAAGCCGCATGTAGATAGGTTTCGTAATGTTTTTCTTCCAGGCAGAAGCAATGTCTGGAGTGCCCATCTCTTCCTGGTCCCCTCGCTGCCACGTGCCCTCGCCCATGCAGGCCCGTTGGCTGTCTGGGAGCTGGGAGCATGAGGCCCGGTTATCCTGGGGGCCGTCTTTGAGCAGGCAGAGATTTGGAGGATTAGTGGGGGCGCATCACCATGAATGCCAGCCTGCTTCTGCTAACATAGCCTGGCACCGGGGAGGGGAGGGAAGAGAAAGGGGGCTGAGGCTGTGAGATGGTGGCAGGGGGCATGTGTGTAGGGCCTGTGGCCTAGTCACAGAGCTCTGTCCTGTGGAGTTTGGGAGCAGGGCACACACAGAACCCAGAGCAAGGAGATGGGAGCCTCAGTTTTCTTCATCTGCTTGCCAGGAGAGGTTGCTCCCAAACCCTGAGTGGGCCAAGCCGCTAGCAGGACTCTGCTAACTCAAAAAGCTCATATCAGATCTTGGTGGGGTAGGATAGGTGTGCGGCGGAGGGGCTCTGACCCGAGACCGGTCACGTTAGCCTTCCCAGGGCACCGATCAGGCATGCCTGATCCTGGCCACATGAGGCCAGCTGGTGCGTAGGGTGTAGGGCTGGTGAGGGAGTTCCAGGACCAGCATAGCACCTGAGACCCGGATGGACAGATGGACGGATGGGCAGATGGAGCCAGCATGGGGCAGTAGTTAGTCTAGGCTGTGTGTCCTTGGTATCTGTGTTTTCCTGTCTCCAATGAAGTCTAGTGGTGACCTGTCTCTGCTCCCTGCTCTAAGCCCACTCAGCACCCACATGAGAGCCCAGGGTCAGTCAGACTCCCTCGTGTTCCCAGACTGCCTCCTACTCCCCCAGAACTTTTTATTACAGCATCCAAACAACCTTTTCTACATAGTTTTCTACCCCCAGGACTGTTCAGAATCTTCTGGCAGAGCCAGTTCTGGGTTTGCAAAGATAGGTGGTGCCCAGACCTGGCTGGCAGCCCAGGAGCCACTCTGGCAGGTGAAAGTCAGGTCAGCCTCGTACACTAGCTGCACGGCAGGGTTAATCCTCCTGAGGCTGGGCTTCTGGGGATGAGGCCTGGTCGCCCTGTCTGTGCATCTGATCAGTCCCTGGGCAATAAACTGTCCCTATGGGTCTCTCTTGTGACCTGGACTGCAGTTCTGAGGAGTTAAGCCTCTTTATTAAGAACTAACAGTCCCTAATGGCTGTTTATTCATAAAACCAATTTGAGGCTTAAGGACAGAACAATCCCCTGAGTTTATTTAATGGAATCCAATATTTATCGAGTGCTGTGTTGGAGGACCTGTGCAGGGCCAGTGGGAAGAACCTGTGATGAGTGTGCCATGAGCTCTGCCTGCCGGCAGTCTTGATGTCCAGGCCTCTGCTCCGCACCTGTGGGGAGGGGCAGCTGGAGCCTCGTCTTCACACCCAACCCTGCTGCGGCAAAGAGGCCTCAGTCTGCGCTACTAGAGGTTCAAGGACCAAGGTCAGCCATTTCCAAATGCAGGTTCAGAGAACATTAATCCCACTCTCTTTTCCCCTCCACAAAGTGCTCTTGGTCAAACAAGTGTGGAGAGCCACAGTGCAGACGCGTGTTCACGGCTCTGTTGGGAACAGAGCCAGTGTGGCTGTTTCATCTGGCATCTACCAGACGCACTGACCATGCCTGCTCTGGAATGTGAGGGGAGAGACCCAACCGGGGAATGATGGACATTCACACCACCCCATCTCCCTGTCCTTCGCCAAGATCTGCTGCTGCATGTGTAACATGTTACCCAACACTGGGCCCCCCACCCTGAAGCGGCCCCTTCCCAACATGTCCAGCCCCTGCCACTCCCTTACAGGCGCTGGAAGTTTCCACTGGAATAAAGCCTCTGCTCCCACTGCATTTGTTTGCTCCTGCTGATTCCCCAGCTTCTCGGACTCCCCTTTCCTCTCTTCTCTCACCCACCACCACCATGTCCAGCATTCAGCCTGCTCAATGGCTCTGGAATCTGCCCCGTCTCCACCTCCATGACCAGCACCCTCATCCAGGCCCCTCCTCTCTCATCTGGGCAGCTCCCTCGGTATCCTAACTTGTGCCCTGCTTCCATCGCAGGACCCCCCACTCTCCATCTCTGCATGACAGCAAGAAGGATCTTCTCAAGCGGCTCCGACCCTGCCCTGCCCAAACCTGCTGGGCATCCCCTGTCCACGGGTGAAGCCCACTCACACTCCACTCTAGGCACCTCACCCACTCTGGCCGCTCTGCCTCTGGTGGGTAGAATTCAGCTGAACCACAAGAGATGGCCAACATGCAGCCTTTTCGGACTTACCCAAGAGGCTATTTCGCCAGCTCTGCCATGGAAGCCGACCAGGCCCCTCTGCCCTGCTGCCTGTTTTCCTGTCAGCTCCATATCGGGCTTACAGGGTCTGGTGGGGCAGATATAGGATGGGGCCCTTGTGGATGGGGCCCTGAGCCAGGCAACTGGGACTCAGTGAGGTGGCCACTGCCACCAATACTCTCCCTGGTCCTGCTTCCCTGCAGGTAGTCCTCCCCTGCCCCTTCCAGACCTTCCCCACCTCGGATCCAGGGCTAATTGAAAAGATTCAATAAACTCAGCCACATGGAAGCTGTTAGAGCTGGCAGGGGCTACCCCTCTCAGAGGTGCCAGCATTTTAGCCACAAACAATGTACAATACAGCATGGTAAGAGATTGCCCAAGGCAGGAGGGGGTTCAGCCAGCACAGCGGGAGCTCTGAGAAGGAACGGCAGTTGCTAATAGACACCGGAAGGCTGGTGCTTGCGAAGAAGGGCCGTCTGGGCTCTCGGCGGCAGCAGTCACTGACTGAGCACAGCCTGTGGGCCCACCCTTCTCTGCCTTCCTCAGCTCATTCAAGCCTCACACCCCGATGACGTGGGCACTGCTGTCACCCCATCCACAGGTGGAGAAGCAGAGCTCAGAGACTGGAGGGAATTGCCCAAGGTCACAGCAGATATGTGGCCGAGCCGGGAGTGGAGACCAGTTGGCCTGGGCTTAGCACAGCCAGGCTGGGTCAACCCGACAAGCCCTGCCCTCCATGCCAAGTCTCCACTCTCTCACCTGGACAAGCAAGGGGATGGATCTTCAGGGGCCCAGGCTGCCAGTCAGCTTGGACATCCTGGGACTTACCCCGACGTGCCTCCAGGATGGTCACCACTGGATCCCCTCCCTCAAAGGGACTTCCTGCACAGGCCTGGAGCCTTCCCCTGCATTTATCCTGATACCATGAAAGGCCTTTTTGCTGGAAGCTGGGCCTGAATGAATCCTGCCGCTCTGATTGACGTAGCCTTGGCCACTCCTGAACTTCCTGGAACCCAAAAGTATCCATCAGCTGCTGCTGGAGACCCAGGGTCTAGGGATGCAGAAACAGGGCACAGTTCTCACCTCCCCAGCTGCTCAGTAGTGGGGGGTTCATTCCCTGGGTTGGGGGCAGAGGCTCCGAGGATCCAAGGAATTACATTTGAAAACAATCTCTCAGGCCAGGTGCTGGCGGGGGGACAGGGCACCTGACAAAACCCTGGAATCAGGAAGTTTGGCACAAAATCAGGCATCTGTCTTCTACCCAGAGTGGGATGGGAGTGGGTTGGGCTGAGGAATAGGTGAGATATATGGGAGGCCTCCTCATACTCACCCTGAGAGGCTTCATGTTGCTCAGCCCCCATTCCAAACCAGCACTCAACACTTGGGCCTTTCTGTGGCCACTGCCCAGAGCCACAGGCTTCAGTTCTTAACAGGGTGCAGTGACCCAGGCCCCAGTGACCTGGGCCAGGGCTCTTTCCCCAGCAGGATCTTTCCTTGGAGCTTCTCTTCTGGGGGTGGTGGCCCACAGGTTCGACCCGCTCACCTGCCCTCCCCACCCACAGCCAGAGGAATTCTGCAGAACACAGGTTGGGAAGATCACTTTACATCCGGGGAAACTGAGGTACAGAGAGGGCCCAGGGCCTTGCAGTGTAGTAGTGACCCGCTGCTGGCTGCATCCCTGGCTAACCAACATCAGTATCCAATGCCACAACCAACCAGAACTAACTAAGGAGAGAAAAATGACACGACCCCTCACACTCACACATACACACGCACATACACAATGCACATGTGCACGTATGCACACACACACACACACACACTCAGGCAATGTACACATGCAATGCACACACATACACACACACACAGGGCTGAGAGAAAACAGAGCTGGGAGGGAGCGGCAGAAGCCCCAGAGGTGGCCCTGGCAGCTGTGGTTCTGGCCAGTGGGCTTTGGCATTCCCTCCACTTGGCAGACAGGCATACCCTCTGCCCACACTCTGCCCATTGAGACCTCTCCCTCCCCAAAAAAGAGGTCAGAGTGCAACCCAAGGAAGGAGTCCAAAATCAACCCACAGCCATCTGTCCTTTTCTTGACCCTGCTCTCTTCAGACAGAGGCAAAGGGGAAACTGCCAGGGACAAGAAACTTGCTCACACACTTTCTGTCCGAAGGGGGCATCAAGCCTGCTTCTGCCTTGCCAGGTGCTCTAGTCCTCTGAGCCTCAGTTTCCCCCACATAGATGGGAGATAAAAATTCCAGCCTGCTTCCTCCTATCACAGCGGGAGGGAAGAGCATCCTCAAGGCTCTCTCTGTCCCGGGCTGGGGCCCTGAGGTGTGATTTTCTGACCCCTCCTCACAGCTCCCCACAGGGCTCCAGTGACAGGTCAGCCAGGTGAGGCCCCTCTGGAAAATCCTCTGTCTCAGTTCGTGGCCTGGTCTGCGCAGCGACCCTCAGACAATCCCAGGGCGGCCGCAGCCTCACAGCACCTGCTCACGCACGGCCCTGCTGCTCACTTCTCAGTGGAGGAAAATCTAGGCCAGGGGAGAAGCAGGGAAGAAAAGCAGAGGCTGGGGCCGTGAACTGGTGTCACTCTAGCTGGGCGTCCGCAATCTCGGCACCTCCTGCTGGTCTCCCCACAGGCAGTCCTCAGACACTACACAGGATCACCAGGGGCACAGGCCCAGTGGGACACTAGGCTGAGCAACAGGAGGAGGGGAGGGGACTGTGGGTGCTTCCTGGGCCCCCAGTGGCCGCCCAGGGCTCCTGCTTGCCCCTGCGCTGGAGCCCCCCCTTTGCCCTTCTACCGTGCTGTCTGCACAGACGCCTCTGCCTGGAGGGGGCCCAAGGGGCGCTCCTGTTGGCACACACAGGGTAGGCAGAGGACGTGTCAGACTATGCAAGAAACAAATCATGGGCCAAGTGCCCTGAAACTTCCGCGGGATATGTGGTCCGCGGCCCTGCCCTGGGCCATCAGCGGAGCTGGAGTGGATCCTGCAGGCAGCTTCCCAAGGGTGGTCCCCAATGACAGTTATGGGGTCCACAACTCAGGCCCCTCAAGCCCCACACTCCTCTGTAGAGATACAGAGCAGGTGAAAATATGTGTCACTCTCCACCGTGGCCAGTGAACTCCCCTGGCGGAAAACTACCTGGGAGCGAGACATTATGCATTTGTAAAAACCCGTCTAACTGTGAATCCTAATGTAAACTATGGACTTCAGTTAATAATGATGTATCAATATTGGCTCATTAATTGTAACAAATGCACCACCAATGGAAGTTGTTAATAATAGGAGAAATAGGGTGAACGTCAAATGCTGGTGTCCTCTGCTAAGGGCCCCGGCATGGGGAGAGCTGGGAGCCAAAATCACAACCTTTACCAAGCTCTTCCCACGTTCCAGCACTGGACTAATGACAGCCTTATCTCCTGAACTATCTCAGCGCAGCGAGGTGAGTGTCATCACACCCCAGCTGAGGTCCACTAAGACAAAGGCACTGGCCCCTGCCACACTGCTGGACAGTGAAGGGAGAATATTCATTCCCTCATCTGTCCTTTCCCAAATGGGCATCAGGCACTGAGCTGGGCACTGGGGATGCAATGGTGGGGAAGACAGAACAAACGGACTTGTTGGTGCTGAGGCCATGGGCTCAAGGGAGACATGGGCTTGCTCCAGCAAATGGCTCTGTGCCCCACTTCCACAATCCGCTCTCATGGAAAGCAGGTGTCCCGCTGCCTGGGTCAGTCGCTCAGTGACAGACACCCCTCGTAAGGATCCTGAGCAGGTGAAATATGGCCCCAAACAACACTTCTTCAACTTACTAAAAAGTGAGTGGCACAGCTGTATTCATAATTGCCCAACACTGGAAGCAACCAAGGTGCCCTTCAAGAGGTGAATGGATAAACTGTGGTACATCCATATCATGGAGTATTATTCAGTGAGAGAAAGGAATGAACTATCAAACCACGAACCTTAAATACATATCACCAAGTGAAAGAAGCCAGTATGAAAAGGCTGCATACCACATGATTCCAACTACAGGTAGTCCTTGACTTATGATGCTTTTGAGTCACAAAGAACCGCTCTTACAATCATCTTTTTCTTTGGCACATCTTATTTTTAGTAATATGCACTACATACAATATTGCAGTGCATAATTTGCTGATATCATTCTCAGATGTTCACTTGCAGATGTTCGAAGATTAGATTTATAGAGACTGATAATACAAGGCAATCATAATGAAAACTAAAAAAATAAAGAGGTATTTGACTTAGCGTCAGAACCAACTTACGACATAGTCATCGGAACAGATCCCATCGTAAGTGGGGGAACCACCTGTATATGACATTCTGGAAAAGGCGGAACTATAGAGTCAGTAAAACGATCAGAGGTTGCTAGGGGCTGGGGGGTGAGGATGTGCACTGGTGTAGCACAGGGCATTCTGGGGACAGTGAAACTATCATGTATGATTCTGTAATATGGACACATGACATTATGCATTTGTCAAAAGCCACAGAACTGTACAACACAGAATGAATCCTAATGTAAACCATGGACTTTAGTTAATGATGTATCAATAACAATTCATCAATGGTAACAAATGTATCACCAAGGCAAGATGTTAATGGCAGGACATACTGTGTGCACAGGGGTTAGGGAGCATATGGGAACTCTCTGTACCAGCTGCTCATTTTTTCTATAAACCTAAAATTGCTCTAAAAAAATAAAGTCTATTAATTAAAAAAAAAAAAAGAATGGCTATCACTGGTTTCACGGGTATCAACTCAGACCATAGTCATGCTAGCTGGGCAGGAGGTGTGTAAGCCGTGGACATCCTCTCTGGAGAGTGAGGCTGACCCAACGAAGGCAGGCTCATTAGGATTATTAAAGGTGGGCATCAGTGCCTCCTCCGAGGAACTCAAGGGCCCAGGGGCTGCAATTCATTGTTAATGATGCTGCCAATCTTCTCCAAATGAGGCAGCCCACTGGGCAAAGGGCAGCCCCACCTGTCCCTCTCATCAGACCACATCCTGTTCGTGTCAGGTCTTTTATCAATGCAATCAGCACTGCCCTCTCCTTCACCACCAGCATCCCCAGTGGAATCCCAGGGTCTGGAATGTGCAGCAATCAGGCCATACAAGTGGCAAGTACACCCAAGGGGACTATTTAAAGCAGGGAGAACCCAGGAGCCACATTTCCTGGACAAGAACACAGAGCAGCTCTACCCAGCCTAGCCCAGAGTCCAAAGATCCACCATCCCACCTGGGGAGGAGGCCAGTAGCATGGTGAGTACAGCCACCTTGTCCCCTCCCCAGCAGGAGGCGGTGAGGAGCTGGTCCCCGTCTCTTTGGGCCTCCCCAGCCCTGTGGATCTGTGTACCCTCTGGCTGTCCGTGCCCAGTTCCTGACCCAGACAAGGGCTGGAGCCAGGGTTCCCAGAGCAGTGCAGATTGGCCCAAGGTGCCCGCCAGGGCTGGAACCCTAGTCCAATGCTTTTCCTTCCATGTTGTGGACTGTGGGGATCTGACTTGTGCTGGGACCTAATTTTCAGTGGTGAGTATCCTTAGTTTCTTTCAGATTCTCAAAGGGGTCCATGACCCCTGAAAGGGAAGAAGGTCTCTTCCTACTATCCTTTCTCAAGGACCAAAGGCCAGCCCCAGGGTGGATTCGTCCACCAGGGTGGAACACTTCCTAGTCCAAGTGAAGTGCTTTCCATGGGGAGGAAGAGGGGGACTCCCCCCACAGAAAGCCACCTTGTGAGAAGCCCAGTCCCTCCCTCAGCCCAGGTCCTGTGGAAAGGCTTTTCCCACAGCAGGGGTCCTGGGGACCTGAAGGGCTTAAAGGGCTGGGTTTGGGTAGAGAGAAGGACTGCTTTTATTATTTTTTTAAAGCTTTCTGGCTGAGCTCACTTTGAAAAGTTTTCAAGTGAACTGTTTCTGGAAAGAGCTCTGGGGAGTCCTGTGCTATCTTCTCCAGAACTGGCTGTCTTTATAGCCTCAGTTCGACTCCTCAGAGGATGAGCCAGCTCCCATCCACCCCTGGTCATTACCAAAAAGGCTTATTTTGCGAGGGAAGGCAGCAATTACTGCTGAGGCAGGGGCACTCTGGGAAGCTCTATTTCTGTTTCAGATCCCCTATGGGCCGCCACACATGGTATAAGGTAGCGGTTTAGAGCAGCGTCCTGGAGCCAAGCCCGATTAGGTCTGGCCTTGAATTCCAGCTTTGCCACTTTAAAGCTGTGAGATCTTGGGCAAGTCACCTCCCCTCTTTGAGCCAGATTCTTCCCCTGTAAACCAAAAACCCAAACCAAACCCATTCCATCGAGTTGATTCTGACTCATAGCAACCCTATAGGGCAGAGTAGAACTTAGGGTTTCCAAGGCTGTAAATCTTTACGGGAGCAGACTGCCACATCTTTCTCCAGAGGAGAGACTGGCGGGTTTGAACCGCCGACCTTTTGGTTAGCAGCCAAGTGCTTTAACCACTGTGCCACTAGGGCTCCTCCCCTCTGTAAAGTGGGGATAAAATACTCCCTTCTGTAGGATTTTGCAAGGATTGCATCAGATATGTACAAAAAGCATTTTGCACAGGTCCTGTGTGCCAAGACTCCCTCCCCTACTAGAATCACGAGTCCCAGTGCCTCCACTTCCTAGCTCTGTGACCTGGGCAGAATCTCTTAGCCTTTCTGACAGTTTTCTTGCCTGAAAAAGTGGGAATGACAGTACCTAGGAATTAGGTTTATTGTGAAGAAGTGCAATCACACATGTTAAGTTTTTGACTCAGGCATGGTCCACACCCCTCCCCATGCTCCCACGCTCCCATCCCCCCACCCCCCTCAAGCATGTCTCTGTGAGTTAGGCCAGAACCACCAAATCTGCTTCCTGGGGTCAATAGCAACTCATTTCCATCTTAGAGACATTAGCAGAGTGTCCCAGCTGAACAGCTTAGCTAGACCCATTTATTATCAAGTTGAAAACTAAGAGAGATTGATGCTTTTAACTTTCTACCCAACGGCTCTGAGATGATATGGCCCAAGAGTCAATAATTATAATAAAAGAAAAATGAATCCAGATTTGCTCTGCTCTCCCAGGGGCAGCCTGCGCACGGCTGTAAGCCATTCCAGCAGCTGCGGTATTATAGTGCTAAGCTGCCAAGGCAGCCAAATCCAGGGGATTTCAGGAGAGTGAGAACCCGCCTAATTGGTGCAATCAGCTACTGAGCCTGCTAAGAAAATAAAGGCCTGGTCCCCACCTAGTGACACTCCCGAAAGCTTGTTGGAAGTCGGGCTCAGTGGAAGCACCAGCTTATGCCTCAGTGGCTGCCCAAGCCTGGGCAAGTGCTGTTGACAAGCTGTACATGGCCCACATGTACAGCTGGTAACCTCCTCTTTTCTTTCCCTCTGGGTCAGATGATGTGCTCCCTGTCCTACCTCCTCCTCCTGCCGCTGGGCGTCTGCTTTCCTCTAGCGGACAGAGAAGAGTCTAGAGACACCCTGGGTGACATCAGAACCAAGAAGAGCTGGGCTGACCTGGCCCAGGGAAGCCGACCTAACTTTGTATGGGGCTCCTCTCGGCAGCCAAGAGCTCCTCAGCCGCTGGCCTTGCTCGTCATAGCCAAGGAGCTGCAGACGTCAGGCAAAGAGCGTGCTGGCTTCAGGTTCCGGTTCGGGAGGCAGGATGACGGCGGTGAGGCCACCAGCTTCCTCTCAGCTGACGGTGAGAAGGCCAGTGGTCCACTGGGAAACCTAGCCGAGGAGCTCAATGGCTACAGTAGGAAGAAAGGGGGCTTCAGCTTCCGCTTTGGCCGGCGGTAAAGAGGCTGTGGCATGCTGGAAAGGGTGCCTCCTCGGACCCTCGCCTGTCTGATTCCACTCCAGTGTTTTCAACCTTCAAAGACCAAGACACTGAGAAGACTTCAGTATTATTATCACGGATCATTGGCAGTAGGTTTGGTTAGGTGGTTGCTTACTTTTGATTTCCAACTTTGCTGAAGCAAAAAAACAAAACAAAAAACAGATGGTACCACAAAGGTGACTGAAAGGAAGCGGTGTCCTGGTTCAGAGGAAAAGGCCGCCATTGTACCAGCTTGCTGATAAAGCCTGTTGTCATGCCTCAGACTCTCCCTTCCCCTAGTGGTCTGATTCTGGGCAGTCCCCTGGCCCCAGTGGCACGGAGCTGAGGATGCTGCTCGGCAATGAATATGAACAGACAGAGCTGGCTGTGCTGGCTCCACGTTGAAGGTAGGTGGACCGTGTGATTACAGTGGGGTAATCAAAGTTTTGACAGTCTCCATAGGGACGTCTGTAGCCAACATCCACAATGCAACTGTGAATGAATACATTCCACTGGGTACAGAGTATGGTTCTGAACATTAAAAATGGAAAAAAAAAATCCTGTTCTCCATCTCATTAACATGAGACCCCTCTGGCAAGAAAGCACTGCTCTGGTATCAAGATGCCACTCTGACCTGGCTGCCTATCCCCGTCTGATAACTGTCCTTCTCTGGGCTATGGTGTCTGCCAAGCCCCAAGTCCCCTGGGAGATGAACTAGGAAGGAATACATTTTTGCTACAGCAAGGCTGCATTTCACATGTTCAAAATAGGAATCTGTTGTGCGTGTCTCTTGAAATAAAAGTTGTAAAAACTGCAAAACCATATTGGGAAGCTCACCTGACTTTTAACTACAGGTCTTCAAAACCCTAGGAACTTCATTTTCCTGAGTTGCAAATGCCTTAACTTGGGGAGACGGAATTTGTACTGTATACATCCACACACTTCTCTCAGCATCCCCTTAATTGGAAGTTGGTAAAATACCCATGGTCAAAAGGTACGGGAAAGCACAATGCAGGGTATGTTTTTCTCCTCCACTTGACTGCTCCTTCCCTGGTCCTCTCAGAGCGAGTAGCATTTGGAAAACAACTTTTCCACTTGGGGAAAGCCGGAGCTCAGCCTGGAGTGGTTGCAGGCCTGGGGTGAGGCAGAGAAGCCCTTTCAAACTTGGCTTTGGTGTCTTCTGCACCCCATCCCGTGTCAGGTGCCACAGTCTGATGCTGCTCTCACGTGGGCTTGCTTCAGCTGCTGAGATGAGAACTTATATTGATGTTACTATAGCAACATTTCCCCTCCTCTTTTCAAGCTGCAGCCTGCCCCTGTTCACGACTGAATAATTTTCTATTGAGCGGTCACAATTAATTGGTGGATTTTTATTAGCCTTTTAGAACCACACTGGGCTGGGCCCAGCTTGGCACCTCAGAGTACTTCAGTGTTTTCCATTCTGTTAGTGACTTGCCTTCCCCAGTAACAGCTCTCAATCCTCCGCAGCCAGAAAGCCACTTCATTAAGGGGTGACAGATCGGAGCCACAAAAGAACCAAGCTGACTGGGGAGCAGAAATTGGGGTGGTAAGATGGGAGAGGAACACAGGAGTCAGAACATCACCTTATGTTAAAGCAAGCTGCTTTCTCGTGGCGCTTCTTGCTGCTTCTTAGACAAAAACAGAGGGCTTCTCTATGCCTTGGTACCTGTGCCCTGGGTCTTGGGGTGCTGGGATGGGGGACAAGACAATGGCACCAGAGTCTGGGGGGGCACATGACCTCTCTGGGATGATTCAGCAGGCCTCCTGCAAAAAGGGTACTGTCACCACCTTCAAACGTGACACTCTGACAGGGATGGACACATCCCAGGGTCATCTGTTGGTTAATGAGGCAAACCCTTGGCCCTTAAACCATGGAGGGCAAAAAAACTCTAACTAGTCTGTTTATCAGTAAAAGACAGCTCAGACCCTGAGTGCAAAGGCATCACCCCAGGGGGTGCTCATACTTGCTTTAAGGAAGAGCAGGAACCAGATCAACTCCCCCTTTGACTCCTTCCCACACACAAAGATGCCAGACGACACGCCCCAGAGAATCTCAGTGAAACACAATGGACCAAAGACCAACAGAGGGACGCCCTGGAGCAAAGGTCCCTGGCCGACCCACACTTAACCAATTTCCACCCTCCTAGAAAAGAAGCTGCCCCATGGCCACTGGTCAACAGCACGGGAGGACACCTCGGCTGAGCTACTCCTGCGTATCTTTACACACACTTCAGGTATACACTGGCTGGTTTTTAATTTAGCAGGATTAGATTAACCTCGATGGAGAAACCGGAGATAGAGGAGAGGAGGGAGGGGAGACCTTCAGAGGAGTGGATATACTGTGATTAGGCTTCCATCATTACAGAAATCAACAACAAAGCCATTCTTCCCAGTTTGCTTATACATTCGCGCTCAATAACCCTGAAAATCAGAACAATCAAACTGTTAAGGGCATTGATCTGTTAAATCAACTCCCACTATATTTGGCTACATTTACCCTTTAACCCCCTGCCCCACTCTGTATCACCCTCGCCAGTTTCTGTCAAGGACTTCGGGCCCACTCACGCCACCCCACCGCCCCGCTTTCTCCTTGATGAGGAAGATTACTCTGATTAGCGCAGATGAGACTCTTAGTAACACATTCATTTTGGAAGCAGAGATTAAGCTCCCCGGGCGGCCTGTTCTCACTCCACCTCGCGTGGTGACTCTCGCTCTTCCAGCCCAGAGCCACCCGAGAGCTGTTTGCATCTGTTCATTATATTTACTCAAGACACAAAGTGTTCATCTGAGGTGGGAAAATCTAAAGGTATTTAGCTGTTAAAAAGGGAAGAGAATATTTTTCTCTGAATTTTCTTGAAATATGTTTGAAGTATTAATAAAAATGTTTAAGAAAAAGGAGGGGGGGGGGGATGCTGGCGCCACCAAGCCATAGGCAACTGCTGTAGAAAATAGGGAAGCCACCTTGTCTCAAACCCCGCTCCAATGCCCAAGAAGCTGAGTGACAAATTTCACTGAAGACCCCCCCCCCCAACAAGGTACTTTTCACCCTGAGAGCAGAGAGCTGGGACACTAGTCTGTGCTGTTGGTACTTCTATAACTGAAATCTCCCTTAGCCTCTTGGGAATGCCCTTCCAGATAATACCTGAGGTTTCCCTGATGATGTCAGTGACATTAACTGGCCCGGGGGCCCTGCCCACAGTGTTGGGTGACCATCAGGAACAAGGGCAGGTACTAATAGGGGCACACTCTGGTTTATCAGTTCTGTCCTCACCTAATGTCTTCTGTATCAAGACAAAATTTAGAAATTGATTCCCCGGAGTGCCCAAGGAACCCGGCCTATATAATATCCCAAACACCTGGAGAAGGTGGTCTAGCTGTAATTCTTGGCTTGTTTTCTTCTGTTATTGAGGGAGGAACCTGGTCCTGGAGCATAGATCTTTGCAGGTCATGTTGTGGCCATGTGCACTGTATATAAATCAGTCCAGCACAGTGGCTAAGGCTTAGCGCTACAGAGCCAGACAGGTCTGGGGCAGGCCACATGCTGTGTGACTTTGGGCAAGTTGCTTCACATCTCTGAGTCTCAGTCTTCTTATCCATCATATGAGGATAGTGGCAGAATCTCCCTCATAAAGGGGACTGAGGGTTTCATTGATAATGTAGCATGTCTGAAAACGCTGAAAGTGCTCAGATGTGGCCTGGTATTTTAAGGAAACTTTCATTAATGCGTAACATAATCCAGAATCTGCACAAATTCTAAGTGTACAGTTTGATGAATTTTCACCAAATGACACACACATTAGCCAGTACCACCCAGATTAAGAAACAGAACATGACCTTCCCCCAAGTCCCCTTGTGCCCCAACCTGGCATGGCCCTCCTCCGCCCTGGGTTATCTTCCATCCTGACTTCTAACACCACAGATGAGTCTTGCCTGTTTAAATAAACTGAAGCTTACAGTACGACTCTTTTGTGTCTGGCTTCTTTTGCTCAATATTATGTTTCTGAGATTCACCCATACTGTCGTGTGTGGCAACAGTTAGCTCATTTTCGTTGCTTATAATATTCCACTGCATGAACACTCCACTACTTATCCTCTCTTCTCTGATGGACATCTGGACTGTTTTCAGTGCTTGATTTTTTCCACAAGAATTTGACACATTAGACTCTTATTTCATGATAATCACAATAACAACAGTAACCTGTTGGCCTCCTGGCAGACTTGGCCCTTGGATACCCCTTGGTTCAGGACCTTGCGGGTGGGATTCAAAATTATCTAGAAACTGTTCTGTACGTGCACATGCATGCATTTTTCTGGGGCGAGGATCCACACCTTTCGTTAGACTCTCAAGGGGTCTGTGACCTAAAAAAGATTAAGAGCCACTGCCTCAGAATAGCTAGACCACACTAAGTTTCTTAAGTTCTGGTGACACACATGGATGATTCTTATTTGGGAGACAAGGAATTTATTTCATACTAGTACAGCCAGTGTTCACTGCACGCCTGCCAAGGTGACTGGCATCGTGTGTGGGCTGCGCCCTGGCCTCACCACATGTGAGCTTTGACTCTGGACAAGAAACCTGGCTGCTGAGCCACGGAAATGGGATAACACATGCCCTGCCTAGAAGGACTGCTGCAAGGACTCTATGAATGGCCCATGTCTGCCATGGAGGACGGAAGAAGCTCGCCATCAGTTGTAGCTGTTATAATCATTCTATGTCTTCTTTCAGACTTGGGAGCAGTCACTCAAGGAAAGACCCTGTTACCGGTGGAAAAGCCCTGGACTTGAACTCCAGAGATCTGGCATCCAGTTGTGTTTCAACTACGTACTAGTGAGCTACGTAATCCTGAGCTGGCTTTTGTCTTTGTGAAATGAGAGGGCAGACAATCTCTAGTGCTGCCTGCCGCTGTTCAGTCTGAGCATGGTAAGGTGGGTCGCCCAGCCCTCGTCCTGGGCTGGTGTT